TCGCCTCCCACCAGCACCTGCACCGCCGGAGCATGCCGGTGGACGACCGGGACCTGCAGGCGTCCGTCCCGCCCGCCGCCCTGGGCGAGTTCTCCCCGCTGGTCCGCTGCACCTCGTACAACCCGGAGCGCGAGAGCTGGGCGTCCGACTCCTCCGACTCGGTCACCTCCTCGGGCAGCGATTCCGACAGCCACCTCTACAAGGTGATGCTGCTGGGCGAGCACGGCGTGGGCAAGACCAGCCTGGCCCGGATCTTCGGCGGCGTGGAGGACTGCCCCGACGTGGAGGAGGCAGGTGAGCGGGCGGCACAGTCCGCAGCCACAAAACCCTGGCGCTAGGGTGGCCACTCAGCCTCGCACAGGCGGCGAGCTGCGGTAGCGAGGCGCCTGCTAGCACAGTGCCTGGCCTGGCGCTAAGCTACCTTTAGTGCGGAGGAATCGCTGCATTCCTCTTGTCGTTGGAGTTTCAGTCGGTCCGTAAACTCCGTTTGTTCAGTGTAGCTACATGGATCTAGCTGGGCTATAAACAACGATTTATGGCTAAACAAAATTGATCTATAATCAATCCAGGAGATGCTTGTATAAGCATCACTACGTGAAGGTATCTTAAGTGTGACTATAGTTGATTAACTTGGTCACATCACTACATAGCTCAATATTAGTATAAATGGAGCTGATTTGGGATCCCCATTATGTGCTACTCTTCCTAAGGAATGGCTTAGCTTCTTTAGCATAAAGGAAGGCTTTTATGATTAGGGGGAGGGGGAAGAGTTTAACAACTAAATTTCTTAACACTTAAAGTTTGGCTAATGAACAAACTAATTTTTCATAATTGAGTAGTCAGATTAGATTTACGAAGGTTTATGTAACAAGTACCCAGCTGTAGTATTGCGTCTTCCATCAAGGGGCTGGCAAACTGCTTTATGAGGGAGAGAGGTATCATTATTCTCATTTTGCATATTGTAGGTTTCTAAACTTGTGTTGCTAATAGAGATCGCAGGCAATTGACTAACTGCCCTGAAGCAAAGTTCTTCAAAAATACAGAAAATTAACAGCCAAACATTAAGTTCAACTCCATAAAATTATGAGTTTTCACTTAAACCCAAACAGCAGGAGAAAGTAGAGCTAGGTTTATCACTCCACATAGTCGTGACTGGTATTGTTGAAAACTGCAGGAGTCTCTGGGCTGAGGCATATGTACATATTTTACACCATGGGTCCAATCCTTAAGCTCTTATTGAATCAATTAAAATGCCTCAGACTTTAAAATATATGCTATAATACTGAAGTATATAGTAAGTGAAGGATGGAGTAATGGTCTTTACTCTGAATTTTCCTACTTTTATTGTTTTAGGTCAGTACTTTGAACACCAATAAACTTTTAAAAAGTCGAATAAAATGTACTAGGGATGCAGAATTCATATAATCTATTACACATACATTGCAACCTTGTGTCACCATAACAAAATTATTCTCTAGTAAATTAGAGAATGCTTTTAGAAGAAACAACTGAGGTAACCATGCTACTGTAGTGTAGTCAGCCAGGTCTTAAGGGTTCTGATTACCAAGAGTAGTGCAGTCAATGAAGTAAACATTTCTTTTCTTATAGGGAATACGTATAACAGATCAATTATCGTTGATGGAGAAGAAGCTTCTCTCATAGTGTTTGATATATGGGAGCAGGTATGTATAGTTTCTTATGTATAGATCATTAAGTAACATCCTAATATGCAAGTTGACATTCTTTGATTTGTATTCATTCATGTAGTTTTCTAGTAGGTAGGTTATTTCAGCCCTTTGTATTCATTCATGTAGTTTTCTAGTAGGTGGGCTGAAATAACCTATGTTTAGGGCCAGCTGAACTGCTAATTCCTGTTGCTGGGGAGTTACTTGCATAAGCAGATTCAGTCTCCCAATGAGGCAGTCCCATGAGTAGCTGCTTATTTGAATACAAGTAAGGGGGTCACCATCTGGCCTATCCCAGGCCTTGATGCAACTTGTGGAAACAGAAGATTGTACTTGGTATACATCCACTTAGTCAGATTCATGTGGGTCTTTTCCCACAAAAGCTTATGCTCTGATACATCTGCTAGTCTATAAGGTGCCACAGGACTTCTTGTCATTTTTGCAGATTCAGACTAACACTGTTTATCCCAAAAAAGGATTTTTCCCCTCCCAAGAACAAGCTTGCAAAATAGTTTTTTAAACACTGTCTTGCAATCCTTTTATTACAATTAAAGAACTAGCTGTAGTAGAGTTTCCAAAACCATTCACTTACTAAATCCAGGAATGTTTATTTTTATGCATTTTCAAGGCAATAAATGGTGCCATTTTTTCCTTTTTAGGATGATGGCCAGTGGCTACAGAATCACTGTATGAAAATGGGAGATGCCTACATTATTGTATACTCTGTCACAGACAAAGTTAGTTTTGAAAAGGCCTCAGAACTGCGAATTCAGCTAAGAAGAGCAAGACAAACAGAAGATATTCCCATCATTCTTGTAGGGAATAAAAGTGACCTTGTCCGATCCAGAGAAGTCTCGGTAGATGGTAAGAAATACTACTATATTGTGAATTAAAGTATAAGTTAGTAACTAAGGCTGCTGAGGATCATGACCTTGTGGAACCGAGTCCAGTTCTGCTGCAGAAAGGGGCATGACTTGAAGAGCGTGGCTCTGACATGCCATGCTCAGCATTTGGAACATAGAGAAGGAGCAAGTTGTCAGAAGCGGAGCTTGTTGATTTGTGACTATCCTTGGCATAGTGCCCTGAAGCTGCAGTAGCGAAGGCGTGGCTTAGAGCTGCAGCCTCAGGGCACTACTTAATGCATCTCAAGGTCAATAGTGACTGCTAGTCATTAGCCATCTTCTGGCTGTCCAATGGCATTTATGAAAACTTGATTGTCTCAATCCTGTTCCTAATGGACAGAGGTACAAATTTTAAAAAAAGCCCCAACTGGCAATCTGAGGGCAAGAAAATAGATGGAACAATCTTTTCTCTTATGAAGTGATCTGATATTAGGGATAGATCTCTTAGCAGGGCAGCACGGGGAAGCATGCCCCCTCTTGAGTCTATGCTGTGTCTTTTCTGTGAATCAGGATATTTCAGTGTCCAGGACTCAATTAGGCATCTATCAACGGCACTGACTTTTTAAAAATAAGCTGTATATTCACTAGGTAGAATGCTGTGAAATCTCATCAGTACCTTGATGAGTGCTTTCAGTCTGATTGAGCTCCCAAAGCTCCAAGACAACATGCAGCTGGTGCTGTGACCAGAAGGTCTTCCTTGTTCTGTTGGTGACCCTGTTAACTGATGTGGCCTGCCTTGCACAAATGATTGCATTGACTTCAGGGTCATTGTTTTACCATAAGCATGAACATTGAAATTCATGCTTCAGCAATGGTCAAAAGTAACTTTCTAAAACCTTTGCAACATCTTATTGTGGATACAGATCTCACTACACCAAAGTGACCTATATTTTTATTTTCTAGCAATAGGTCTAGAGATTTGGCTCTCCTAGCTGTATCATGCTTTATTTGGAACCACCTTAGACTTACTGGTTATCGCTTCTGCAGAATGTGGCAGCACAACTTTAACCTGAAAGAAATATCTGCTCTCTGAGCCTTGTGCTAGATGCTGTCATGTATATGTGCTTTTAAATGAGGCCTACACTGAACAATAGTGGGCCAATCTACTTGAGGAACTGCCTGTTGCTCTATGCTCCATCACATTGGTGGAACTGAAACTTCCAACCCTAGAATGGTATAATCTTGAAGACCAGGGGCCACCTTCTGTGTGGTTCCATGATTGGAAATATTCATTGCAACATGCATTGAATTGCATTTTGTGATAAGTCATTCCCCTAAAGTATGTTTAAGTCCCATTGTAACTTTGGATACCAATATGCATGAAGGAAAAATATAACTTCACTTGTCTCTTCTTATCTTTCCAGAGGGACGGGCCTGTGCTGTGGTGTTTGACTGCAAATTCATTGAGACATCAGCTGCTCTTCATCATAATGTGAAGGATCTGTTTGAAGGTATCGTTCGACAAATCAGACTTCGCAAAGACAGTAAGGAAGACAATGCCAGGCGAATGGCCAATGCAAAAAGAAGAGAAAGCATAAGCAAAAAGGCAAAGCGATTCCTTGGGAGAATTGTAGCAAAGAACAACAAGAAGATGGCTTTCAAGGCAAAGTCAAAGTCTTGCCATGATTTATCTGTGCTTTAGAATCCTTCACCAAGGCCAGATGCTGCACATTGCTTGTGAATAAGCATTTGACTTCAGTGGACAAACTTACATGGTGATAAAAATGACTTTTGGAACTCTCCTTAATGCCTTAAGGTTCTTAAGCAAGACCTGGAAGTTGCATTATGATGTTTGCTTCATTGGTAAATGGTTTAAGCATCAGTGTGCAAGTAAATGAACTAATTTTAAATAAGTGGCTTTGTATGCCCACGTCTTCACTGTGTATGTATTGTTACATGTTCTCCTGTCCTATGGATAGAGCTGAAAAGGAGAGAGTGTGAAATCACCATAAACTTGTCTCCTTTGCAGGGCAAAACTTGAAAACATTTGTACGCAGGCTCGTACACTTTTTAGTATGAATAAGCAATGATATTTTTAAATTTAAAGGGGGGTTGTTCAAACTGCATTAGAATGGGAAATAGCAAAATATATATAGTTAGATACAGAATAAATACAATTTTATGAAGTTAATTTGCACTTCTATTAACTGTTACTGAATTAGTTAGTTGTTTACATGCAGATTTTTTTTATAATAAAGTTATTTCCTGTTATGCTATTAGACTGTTTTTTCTCTTAGCAAGAACAAAGTGAGATGCCAGTATTTTTCTGCTAGCATTTACTGTATGAATAGACTGCAGTAGATCTATGCAGAATTACATTAAATAAGATTCTACATTTTGAAATGGATTTCATTCATCCTCAGAGTATTTATTAGAAATATGTATAATGGAGTGGTAGCCTTACCCATGTGAATAGGCCCACTTATTCCACTGAGTCTACTTGCATCAAGGGAGCAGGATTTGGCCCTCAATGTTTATCTTCAACTAGAGTCTCTTCCTTCATCTGTTGTGGCTCAGAAGTCCCCTGGGCTGCAACAGGAATAAAACCTTAGACAGATGCAAGTCTTATGTCTGGATAGATGTTACAGGTTGAACCTCAAGCCTGGCACCTTCTGCACCTGACCAGTGCCACACTAGAATCTTGCTGCCATATTGAACTGGCTAGTAGCTCGGCAAGGCAGGGGGTCAGTTTTAAACTGAAAATGAGATCAGGAAGTTTGGAGAGGGTGATTCCAGGAATAATCTACATTTGTCCGAGTGCCTACATATTGGGCAGAGTGCCGCTGTCTCTAGATTGGGGATATGTTTTTCATGAGTCAACAGTGAACCAGCAGGAGCTGTTGGGGACTGTACTGTTGCAGAAGAGGCCTGTCAGGGAAACTTCTGAACAGCTCTAAGAATTTAGCTGGAAGCATTATGGTTGAGTGACAATGTGCTGTTTTAGCTATTACCTCAACTTGCGTGGGGTTTTTTTTTTTTTGCTTCACTTTCATAATTTTCTGAATCTCTTTTTGAGATTAGATAGACAAACTAAGTTGAAACACTTGATGTACCAGTTTTCGTTTCCAGGAAAAACTTATATTCTGATTTGAACTCTCAATTCCATTTCTCCCTCTCCCCTTCTAGCTTGCTTCTTCCCTCACCTTCCAAATAGCATGGGTCTCAAACTTGCATGCTATATGGTGTTTAATTTTTCCACATACTGAATAACTATTGCATACACATTCCACCTTACTACTGGATCCTGTTAGTATTTACAAGACTTGGTTGGGCTAGGTTAGGTCAATACTTGAGGCCTCTGAAGAACAGTCTGGTACTGTAGAAAGAGGAATTGGTGCTTTTTCAGGTGGCATTCTTTGTTCAGAATCTATTGAACAAATGTGCCCGTGGGCACTGACTGCTAGACTGTCTAAAACAAGTTCTTGAACACATGTAACTTGTAAAGAGTACACAACAATTTTTCATAAGTGTTAACTTGGGCTTTCTGGATAGAGTCCACATGCATTTCCTTACATTTCTTCCTCCTGAAGTTTCAGTGAATGCAATACTCTTCCGCTACCCAAGTCACCATGTAATCCTGTTAAGGGGTAGCAAAACAGCTTCATCAATTTACATTGGAACTGCAAGACATCCCAACCCTCATCTGTGGCATAGAATCTGATCATGTTCCCCTTGGACTCAATGGAAAAACAATTTGATGTCCCTGCTAAATGAAATAACCATACCGTCAGTACTGACATTTTTGAACCTCTGAAAGAAATTTCCATTTTTAAAAAGGGAAGTTAAGAGTTTAGTTTGAACTAACCCCTACCACTGACAGTTTGCACCTAAAGAGGGATCTGATATGTATCCCTTTCAGCTCTTTTCCCCACTCTGAGTGCAGAAGGTGGGAGCCCACAAAATCCTTAAATACCTTGCTTCTATAGTCTCTGCTTACCAAAAAAAAAAAAAATTGCCACAGTTACAGAGAGACATCAGCTGCTCTTCATCATAATGTGAAGGATCTGTTTGAAGGTATCGTTCGACAAATCAGACTTCGCAAAGACAGTAAGGAAGACAATGCCAGGCGAATGGCCAATGCAAAAAGAAGAGAAAGCATAAGCAAAAAGGCAAAGCGATTCCTTGGGAGAATTGTAGCAAAGAACAACAAGAAGATGGCTTTCAAGGCAAAGTCAAAGTCTTGCCATGATTTATCTGTGCTTTAGAATCCTTCACCAAGGCCAGATGCTGCACATTGCTTGTGAATAAGCATTTGACTTCAGTGGACAAACTTACATGGTGATAAAAATGACTTTTGGAACTCTCCTTAATGCCTTAAGGTTCTTAAGCAAGACCTGGAAGTTGCATTATGATGTTTGCTTCATTGGTAAATGGTTTAAGCATCAGTGTGCAAGTAAATGAACTAATTTTAAATAAGTGGCTTTGTATGCCCACGTCTTCACTGTGTATGTATTGTTACATGTTCTCCTGTCCTATGGATAGAGCTGAAAAGGAGAGAGTGTGAAATCACCATAAACTTGTCTCCTTTGCAGGGCAAAACTTGAAAACATTTGTACGCAGGCTCGTACACTTTTTAGTATGAATAAGCAATGATATTTTTAAATTTAAAGGGGGGTTGTTCAAACTGCATTAGAATGGGAAATAGCAAAATATATATAGTTAGATACAGAATAAATACAATTTTATGAAGTTAATTTGCACTTCTATTAACTGTTACTGAATTAGTTAGTTGTTTACATGCAGATTTTTTTATAATAAAGTTATTTCCTGTTATGCTATTAGACTGTTTTTTCTCTTAGCAAGAACAAAGTGAGATGCCAGTATTTTTCTGCTAGCATTTACTGTATGAATAGACTGCAGTAGATCTATGCAGAATTACATTAAATAAGATTCTACATTTTGAAATGGATTTCATTCATCCTCAGAGTATTTATTAGAAATATGTATAATGGAGTGGTAGCCTTACCCATGTGAATAGGCCCACTTATTCCACTGAGTCTACTTGCATCAAGGGAGCAGGATTTGGCCCTCAATGTTTATCTTCAACTAGAGTCTCTTCCTTCATCTGTTGTGGCTCAGAAGTCCCCTGGGCTGCAACAGGAATAAAACCTTAGACAGATGCAAGTCTTATGTCTGGATAGATGTTACAGGTTGAACCTCAAGCCTGGCACCTTCTGCACCTGACCAGTGCCACACTAGATAATTTGCTGAACTACAGGAGGTCATACAGTCAACTACTTACTGGGCTCTTAGAAGGCATGTAGGGGTGAATTTGAGCTAAATCTCACACACTGAGCACCTTGGCCACACAAGTGGACAACTGCCTAACTAAAATCATGCTGGACTATAGCATACCAGACGAGAGAGATTGCACCTGTATATTGAAGCTCACAGTGTGCTGCTCCTAAAGGTCTGTTATGGCCTTTTATTTGTGGCTTTAACACACTTCCTTTTTTCCTCTCTTGATCCTGTTCCATCCACCCCAGTCTCTCTGATCCAGTAACTACTGGGAGGGCAAATCAGTTTGGCAGGAACCATTAGGGACTGTACTGTTGCAGAAGAGGCCTGTCAGGGAAACTTCTGAACAGCTCTAAGAATTTAGCTGGAAGCATTATGGTTGAGTGACAATGTGCTGTTTTAGCTATTACCTCAACTTGTGTGGGTTTTTTTTTTTTTTTGCTTCACTTTCATAATTTTCTGAATCTCTTTTTGAGATTAGATAGACAAACTAAGTTGAAACACTTGATGTACCAGTTTTCGTTTCCAGGAAAAACTTATATTCTGATTTGAATTCTCAATTCCATTTCTCCCTCTCCACTTCTAGCTTGCTTCTTCCCTCACCTTCCATATAGCATGGGTCTCAAACTTGCATGCTCTATGGTGTTTAATTTTTCCACATACTGAATAACTATTGCATACACATTCCACCTTACTACTGGATCCTGTTAGTATTTACAAGACTTGGTTGGGCTAGGTTAGGTCAATACTTGAGGCCTCTGAAGAACAGTCTGGTACTGTAGAAAGAGGAATTGGTGCTTTTTCAGGTGGCATTCTTTGTTCAGAATCTATTGAACAAATGTGCCCGTGGGCACTGACTGCTAGACTGTCTAAAACAAGTTCTTGAACACATGTAACTTGTAAAGAGTACACAACAATTTTTCATAAGTGTTAACTTGGGCTTTCTGGATAGAGTCCACATGCATTTCCTTACATTTCTTCCTCCTGACGTTTCAGCTGAATGCAATACTCTTCTGCTACCCAAGTCACTATGTAATCCTGTTAAGGGGTAGCAAAACAGCTTCATCAATTTACATTGGAACTGCAAGACATCCCAACCCTCATCTGTGCCATAGAATCTGATCATGTTCCCCTTGGACTCAATGGAAAAACAATTTGATGTCCCTGCTAAATGAAATAACCATACCGTCAGTACTGACATTTTTGAACCTCTGAAAGAAATTTCCATTTTTAAAAAGGGAAGTTAAGAGTTTAGTTTGAACTAACCCCTACCACTGACAGTTTGCACCTAAAGAGGGATCTGATATGTATCCCTTTCAGCTCTTTTCCCCACTCTGAGTGCAGAAGGTGGGGGCCCACAAAATCCTTAAATGCCTTGCTTCTGTAGTCTCTGCTTACCAAAAAAAAAAAAAATTGCCACAGTTACAGATGCACTGACTCTGGAAGATAGGAACAACCTATCTAGTGATTAAGAACCCTGAACAATGAGAACGGAACACTGGATTCCTTCCCCAGGAGTACCCCAAGATCTTCTGCCACAAGAGAGTGTACAAAAACAAACAAAAAAGGTAACACAGAAAACCAGCTGTGTCTGATAGCTGGCCTCTCAAGCTAGGTGGACACATACACAGACCTCTTGCCTTCCAGGATGCAACCATCACATTGTCTAAAAAAAGGTTTTATTAGCCAAAAAAAAAAAAATCCTTAATAAAGCATATTTGGTTGCTAGCTATTACAGAGCAACTGAGAAAAACAAAACGGAGAACACAGTATCTCTAGGTACAGCTTAAACAATGAATAGGTGGGAATAGAGGGGGCATGTGGATTTTACAAAGAGCAGCTTAACCAAACAACAAAAACTAAATTTACATTTCCCCTTATTAATTCATAGTCCACTCCACTTCCATGCCCCAATTTCCTTGGAGGCATAGTAGTCCTGCCTGGCTTTAAAAAACCATGCCTTCAGCTTCTGGTTCAAAAAACTCACACAAAGAGAAACTCAGCAGGTATATATTTACTATTTAAATTTTATCTCTCTATCACATTGATTCTTCTGGCTGCCTGCCAACACTCTTAGTTACCTGAGTTTAACCCTTTAATCACCAAGTGCTGGCCAGCACCCCTCTTATCCATCATAATCCCTAAATGAAGTTAAAATGAAACACTATTTAAAAGTCAACAGGGAAACAGCTGAATCAGTTTAGAAGCCTACACTAAGTTGCAGCACTCTGATCTAGGAAGCACAGCTCTGGACTTCCCTGAGCTCTCAACCCACAACTGTTGTGTGTATAATTGCACCCTGCAAACTGTCACACTCTCTCCCCCCAAATGGATTACCGCTACAAACAAAAATGGATGGAGAACATCTAATGGATTTATCTTCTCTCACTTTTTTACTTTGTCTCCTCAAAATGTACTGTTTAAATTAACCAACTGGAGACCAACTGGGAGTGGGGAAAGTTTTTCTATTTCCCATATTATATTACAGGAGCTGTAAATGATCTGACAAATTAGGCAGATAAGAGATTGAGCCTCAGACCGTGTATTTTAGACATAAAATACCTGTTTTCCCTTCCTCCTAAAAACCAGTTTCACTAAACCCCAAAATGGCACTTGTGAGTGGCTGACTGTCAGGGCTTGAGGAGTGGGCACAGAATCCGTGCCATGATGTCCCCCACTCAGAAGAGTCTATACTTTGCAGATGCAATGGCAGAGGAATAAGTTCAGCATTACCGCCTCCAGGCTGAACAATTGCAATGTGTTCTGCTTAAACATTTAGAAGAAACTTAAAAAAAAAAAAAAACAATAAATGGTCCTGTAGCAGCTTAGAGACTAACAAAAAAAAAAAGTAGCACAACCCCAACATTCAGAAGCTTCAGCTAGTAGAAAATAGATCCAGAAGAATTAAATTGGTCAGGCCAAAAGGAGCACAACTTCTGTGCTCTGGCCTGGCTCTTCATATGTTTCACAGTGCAGTGCAAGGAGCAGATGGTTATCTAGAAAGCTTTAAGTAATCTTGGGCTGGAAAATACTGAGACAGCCTTCTCAGGTTGTTACAAAGCTTGCTGAAGTTACTGTGATGACCATGGTATTTCCTGACTTTAGAGTGCATAACACTTGGTTTTACAAGTGGACTTTATATTCAGCTGAAAACGATTTGATACATTATGAGGCATCATAGCAAAGATCCAGGTCACTAGCCTATTTCCTGTCTCCCAAGACCCACAGTGTAAAAATGAAACTCCTAAGCAATCAAACAAAACATGGGTGAACTAGAACCTGCAATCCATTTTGAAACCAAACTAACTCACGTGAACTCCATTTTTAAGTCAACAAATTTCACTGCCAGAATTGGTAATGAGGTCTCACCATTGACCTGTTCCAGTACAAACAATAACCCATAAAGCATCTGATATCTCAGTTATCTGACTCCCTTTTATCACATGCTCAGCATTTCATGCCAGACTTTCTTCTTTCCACCATCCATTTTTCAATGCCGTCACTTTTACATCAGTAGCCCTGTGGGAGCGGGAGAGTAACACTCTTCAACTGCTATAGAAGTTATTGGAGACATTCTTTGTCAACAGCTGCAATATGAACTGGGTCCTCCATCCCATTGCTTTACATAATCAAGTCTAGATAAAAATGTCAGGCTTTGCTGCACATCAGTCCATGATTAAGACAGCATAGCAAATTAAATTACTCTCTCTCTGAATGTCAGGGGTCCTGGGTACTTACAAGGCTACGGGGAAATAGGAGACTTGTAGCCAATTTGTTGATGGAAAAGGGTAGAATGCTTAATTAATGCAATCTGACATCCTTCCCTCATTTTTACCCCAAGTCTACAATTTCCACTGAATAATATAGGCCATTGTTGCATATGCTCTTGCAATCATAAAATCTTAGGACTGAAAGGAACCTCAAGAGGTCATTTAAGCCAGTCCTCTGCACTCATGGAAGGAATAAAGTTTTATCTAGACTATCCCTGACAGATGTTTGGAGATTTTTAAGAGCAGGTTAGACAATGATGGAGAATTCCACAACCTCCCCAAGCATTTATTCTAGTGCTTAACCACCCTGCCCTTCTCCGACAGGAAGATTTTCCTAGTGTCCAGTCTAAATTTCCCTTACTGTTCCTATTCTCAGAGGTTAAGAATACCCATTTTTCTGTTTAGGACTGCTGAAGTTGTCACTGCATTGTAAACATAGGTTTTTCTGTTTAGGACTGCTGAAGTTGTTGTCACTGCATTGTAAACATAGTGATAAGTTTCAGAGGGGTAGCTGTGTTAGTCTGTTTGAGCTAAAACAACAAGGAGTCCTGTGGCTCGTTACAGACTAATGCTGTGTTAGTCTGTTTGAGCTAAAACAACAAGGAGTCCTGTGGCTCCTTACAAACTAATACATTTGTTAGTCTAAGGGGCAACAGGTCTCCTTGTTGTTTTTATTGTAAATATGGTTTTAGGAATGTCCCATTTAAAAAAAATAGCTATTTTGTTTCTTTTGCATAATTAACACACAGTTTTAAAACTTTCAAATAAATGGGGAGCACAAGTCAAATTAATATGCAATTTAAGGAATAAGAGGCAGTGGTCAGGCCAATAACATCTTCCTCAGAACAGTTTCTCATTCAATGCATATTTTTGAAGACATGCACATTCGCTGGGTAGCTAAGCCAGTCAGTCATCCATGCACAATACAACCTAATTGAAGAAGTGAGCTGTGTCCATGAAAGCTCATGATACTGTCTACATGTTTTGTTAGTCTTTAAGGTGCAGCAAGACTATTAGTTGTTTAAGTTTTTCTCCACTTACAGAGTAACTTGGCTAGCCCTTTGAAACTTTACTAAAAAGCATAGCTAATTAAATGTCAGATTAAAAACTGAAATGGATAAATCTCTGAAAATAAGAATTTAGTATGAAAGCACTCAACACAACCTTAATCCTAGTGATCTGTAATATTTCCTTTTCACTAACATTCACCTTGAATTATAGTTCAATCCTCCTCCCAATTAAATCAGTGATAAGATTCCTACTGTTTCTTGGGCATTTAAAAGCAATGTTTTCTAAAAATTCCATGAATTCCCATCAGCTTTGTGATGAACAACTGCATTCCCAGTTTTTGGAAAATGAACTGTAAATTAAATGCACTGTTAACCTCTAGGGATCCTGGTTAGTGATTGGTACATTTTAAATTATAAAGTAAATAATTAACCATTGTGCCTTTATTATTTTGCTCTCAATGTTATATTCTGCCCTTCAAGGAACATGATGAGGTAAGGAGCACTTTCCTTTTATCAAGAGAAGTATGGAATAGGTTCGATTTTTCATCTCTGCCGCCAAGATGAAGAGCTAGTTTGTGAACTTCTTATTCACACTGGTGTCACTGAAGGGACAGCATGTATGTATTTTATCAAGAGAAGTATGGAATAGGTTAGATTTTTCACCTCCGCCACCAAGATGAAGAGCTAGTTTGTGAACTCCTTATTCACGCTGGTGTCACTGAAAGGACAGCATGTATGTCCCTTGCTTGCCAGGAATAAGGGAGTCACAGTCTGGCCCTGTTGAAGTGAACCCTAATACTAGTAGTTAGTGTTTTACCTTGATATTAGGTTCTGAAACTTCTTGTTTTGTGAGCACGCTTAGAAACATGCTAACAAAATATTTAAGTGGAGGAATGTGATGGTGGACGAATGTCAAATGGAACAAACTGCTGAAGGTTCTGTGACTGTTTAAAGGCAAGTTACTATTCTGTGTACAAAGTTCAGATCTTTCTTGCTTGGATAAAGATTTTAAATATTTACAACAGTAACAAACTAATATTTTGTTTGATATTAATGATTTTATAATCTAGGTGACAAACTAATCAGAAGTCAGAGATAAATTCATTTAAATTAAAAAAATCATAGTTTTAACTGGAATTTCTCTTTTAATGAGTTCTGTCAGAAATTTGAGTCTAAGAAACAGGCTATTTTTAATTCACTGACTTCAACAGTCACTTTCAAAACAGGCAGATTAGTGGTTCAACTAGTTACTAACATCCATTTCAGGGAACAAATTCCAGATCATGATTGTAAACCTTTGTGATGCAGTCTAGGCATGCTCCTGAACTTGACCTTGATTTCATTTTGAAGGGATTGTGCAGAAAGTGTTAAGAACCATACAAACATCTACAGCATTTTATATGAGACTGATTGTGACTTGTCAAGGCCTCTTGATGAATAATGGACTAAGTACATGTAGCATATCGTAATGTTCCTGTTTCCCTCAACTTGAGAACTTTCCACAAGGATGAACAAGGAAAAGCTCAGCTGAAAATCCTGGCATTACTCACAATTGTATCATGCTTAGCTGGATCGGGAAAGGAATAACCATTTTATTTGTAAATGTATGCCTCCCACCCCCACCTTGCAGCTCCTTGCTTCTGTGAATAGCTTATTTAAGTCATCTCATTGACGTAACTGGCCAAACCCTGCTTCAAGTAAAAACAGGGTAAATCCATGGATTTAGGTCCTGACTCTGAAGAGACACACACAAGCTTAACTTTAGGCAGTGTGTCAATGGGACTACCCACAGTGTGTGAAGTTAAACATTGGCTGTACTCATGCTGTGTAATGAGGTAATCAAAAGCAGAATTTGGCCTAGTGAGGTTGTTTGTGTAAGTAGAACTCCCATGACTATATAGGGTTGTCAACTTCCTATTTTCAGGAAATGGAATACCTTTGCCCACCCCTTTCCGAAGCCTTGCTCCCACTTACTCCATTTCCTTCTCTGTCACTGATTTGCCCCCACTCTTGGTCATTTTCATTGGGCTGGGGCAGGAGGTTGGGCTGAGAGAGGACAGACAGGCTCTGGAGTGGGGTCAGAATTGATGGATTCAAGGTGCAGGTGGGTTGAGGTGCAGGAGGAGATGAGGGGTACAGGATCTGGGCTGGAGACGAAGAGTTTGAGGTGTAGGAGGGGGCTCTTAACTGTGGCAGAGAGTGAGGGTGTATGAAGGGGTGAGGGTTCAGATTGGGGGTGCGGGCTCTGCAATGGGGCCAGAGATGAGGAGTTTGGGGTGCAAGCAGGGACTCCAGCATGGGGCTGAGGTGTTTGGAGAGTAGGAAGGGGAACGGGCTCCAGAAGGAAGTTTGGGTGGGGGAGGTGGCTCCAGGATGGGGCAAGGGAATGATGTGCAGGGTATGGGACAGGATGAGAAGTGCAGGCCCTCGGAGGCAATTTGGGTGCAGGAAGGGGCTCAGGGTTAGGGCAGGGGGTTTGGATTCTGTGTGGAGCTCACTTCAGGTGGCTTCCACAAATGGCTGGCATGTCCCTCCAGGTCCTAGGGCACAGGGTCAGACAGGTGGCCCCATGTGCTGCCTCCATCTGCAAGCTGTGGTTCCTGGCCAATGGGAGCTGTAGAGCCAATGCTTGGGGGCAGCACCACTTCTTCGAGGAGCTAAACACACTGGCTGCTTCCGAAAGCCACGTGGAGCTGGACAGACAGCTTGCCTGCCCCACAACTAGACTTTTAACAGCCCAGTCAGCAATGCGGAATGGAGCTTCCAGGGTCCTTTTCGAGACCCAGTGTTGCCATCTCTCCCTGTTTTATCATGAGTCTGGCAATACATGGGGTTTTCCTTCAAGCCCCAGCTCCTAGAGGTAAGGACACTCAGCTTTCCAGGCCCCTCAGCTGCAGAGAAAAGCATGAAACATGACCTGCCTGAATCTCAAAGTCTCTCTCTTTCTCTCACGCACACACACAAAACCACCCACCCCACAATCACTCACACACACCAAATGAATGAATAAATAAATAATTTAAATTGTAATATGTTGGTTCCTGATGCATAATTTTAGCACCTCAACCATCCTGCACCCTAAGCCTCTAGCTATCATCTTTGAAAAATCATGGAAGATGGGAGAGATTCCAGAACACTGGAAAAGGGCAAATATAGTGTCTATCTCACCAATACTCCACCTCTGCTCTACCCAGTCCCCTCTCCTCCTCTCTGTCTCCCTCGTCTATCTACTCACCTGTTCCAGCCAAATCCCTAAACCCAAATGTAGCAAATGATATTTGGAAAAAAAACACTCTTGTAAAATTTCTTTCTAAAGAAAATGGAGCATTTCCATTGTATGCCAGATTGTGATGATTAGACATGCAGAAAGTACTTAATTAAATGCACTAAATTTGGGAATAATGTTATACTTGAAAGAATTTCATAGGATCTTTTTAGGGGGATGAGACAAAACACTACATTTACTGACAATGTAACATTACTCTGTTATATGTATATTCACACATACCTGCACAAAGACACAAACACACACCTATTTCGTCTTGTCATTGCAAGTTAAATTCGAGAGGGAGGAGCGGGGGCTTCTCTCCGTCTGGACCGATGCTGATTTTGACAAGATGCCCCATCTTTTATAGGACTTCCCCTCTCCCCCACCACTCAGGTCTATGAATTTTGCTGTATCAGTTCTTCATTAATCACCATTTTAACATCTGTTTAACTGGAGGTCATTCTTCTTTGCCATCTGACATCAGTATGTTGGTGCCTCCTTCACAGTGTTATTTTAAGACTATCTTGTTTGTAAAAGGGCGCTTGTTTCTTAACACTCTGAGGCGGTCCATATATCCTCTGTTGGTCTGCTTTGTATTGGGCCCAATTGACAGTAGCTCAGCACCTCTGAGTTTTACGACCTCTTTTCTAAACACATTTCAAACTGATTCACTCCCCCTTCCCAGGAACTACACAATTACTTCACACATGGGAAAAAGTTTACAATTGTCCATACAAAAAGTATCAATCTATTTTGGTACAAAGCTTCTATTAGTACAAACTATTAATCATTCATATTTTCTTTATAATACAATCTAGATTCTAATTACTAAGAGCAACAGTGTGATCATACTGAATCACAAGGATCCTTCTGATCTCTCTGTCTTGACATCAGATACAATCACAAGCAGTTTGTGATGCATCTTTATTAAAGGCCTAGAAAACTGTTCTTCCCGGCTAACCAGAGAAGAGTGGCTGACAGTTATAGTTGCTTAACATGTATTCTTACACTACCCATTAAGCACATTACATAAAACATTATAAAACTCTGTGGTCTACAATAAAAATATCCGTCACAGTTTTTTGTTACATCTTGAAGTTTGCCCTGCTGAATACAACATTACATATTACGGAATACATGATGCAGCCCTTCTCTGATTTACATTTTCTTCATCAGTATTTCTAAGCTGATTTTATGTTTTAAAAATACTCCTACGCCTTCATAAAGTAATCATTCCAGATTACCAAATACTTAAACTCACTGAAACAAAGATATTATTTTAAATTAACTAGTCAGAGCAGTTTAGTGCATTCATAACAAAGTTTGTTGCTTTTAGAAAAAGGGAACACTGTGATTTTCATAATTTAATATTCATGAAATTTCACAATGTATTTATGTTAAAATGTTTCCAATGATTTTAGGCATATCAAAGGATTTTATCTCTTAGTAAGGTACTGATTTTAGTTCATCAAGTAGTCAGAACAGGGAAACTCATTTGTCCAGCTATCTGGAAAAAAAGGAATATCGTCCATTTAAGGGCTCTCTTCAACAGGAGATGAAAGGAGACTTGGGATGGATAGAAAGGACTGGAAGACTTTGGAAGCAAGTTTTTGTACTATAGTAATTAAAATTTTAAAATGTGTACTTTAAATAAGAATGGTCTTTTGAAAAATGTATTTTAAAACTATACGTCTTAAGAATCAAGCAATGAAGGCTAAAGCAGAATACTCAGATTGTGTATCTAAATATCTATGCATGGATTTTTTTAGTCATGATAAATATCTATGCATGGATTTTTTTAGAGACGTGATTCCATAATCTTCAACCACAAACTAATGAAATATTTAAAGCAAATTTTAAACTAAGGTCCTGTAACATAGTTACACACAACTGGTTTTGTCAATAAATAGGGTTTGCACATGCCTATTAAATGGTTCCATTACCACTTAATGGCTCTTTCACAGGTTCAATGCTAATAGGTCTGGCAGGCTGGAAGACTTATCACTTTCAAGTTATCTGGGGAAGAGTCACCAGTCTAGTCTGCAAACTGCAACAGGAGCTGTGGGAGCCTTCAGAAACAGAATAGGGATAGGAAGAGGGGAGTGGATGAGCACTAAGACCCAGGGGAGGTATTACTATATGTTACAGGATCTTAGTTTAAAATTTGCCTATTTTACCCACCACCCACGTATGGGATTGTGCAATAATTGGTAGGAAAAGCATT